CCAATGGAGAGATGGCACATGCTGAAGTGCAAACGGAAATCAGTGGAAGACCAAGGGGTGACTTAAATTCCCACTGAAATCGAGCCAATTAAGTTTATTCGAAACCAATCTCGGACTTAATCCACGCCATCCTAGAACCTTGGCAGTCATCTGCGATAAGCAAGCTGGAGGAGGCACCAGAGCTGAAATATAGCCACGTTGCTTGTGCCCACTCGAAAACAGACAGTATGTCAGGTAGGTCAGAAACAACACACGTATTCGGTAATGGGAAATAGTTGTGGGAATGAGAAGAAATGAAAAAAGCCGGTTGCGCCATCAAAGGAGGGACTTAGAAAGACCAAAACGACGCTGGTAACTTCCCAAAGCGGGAGCGCACTAGTACAGTAGGGATGGTATCATTGTTTAATTTAAATTATTGCAACTGTCCTGTGATTAATGAGTCAACATCAATGACAGCACGCAGAGACCCAGAAGCGACAGTCAAAAGCCCTCTATTCACATAAGATGATCCAATTATGCTCCATAATGCAAATGTTAGCCAACTTACTCCGCACCTGCAGTGAAAGTGCTGATCCATGCCTTGGCTCATCACACAGATGGCAGCATCATTCAAGACAAAGTGAGGGTGTTCTGGCTGATCAAAATCCTCTCGGTGTGTTGTGACTTGCTGAACGGTGGTTCAACTCTGTATCGGTTCTTGGCTTCCTGCTCCGCCCTCTATGGTGTTTCAAAAGGCACCGTAGTTTCAGGCAGCCCATTATGGAAACAAAGGAAGATTATTACAACCGTATTTATAGGGTGATCACAGAATGTTCCACAAGGTCGCACCAGAGTGTTTGTGAAGGGGCGAGAAGCGTGAAGCTATAGATATTCGGTCCAGATTAGCTGACATTCCGACCAATCAGGGCATTCCTTCGTTTAGTCCGTAGCCCGCACGTGACACTTTCGTCCAATTGACGTGATGTTTGGTTAGGAGCGGGTGGCCTCCAGACAGTGTGCTTTGGTCCGAAAAAAGAACTCTGGCGCACGCCATCAGCCGTTTTCAGCGACGAGCCATCTGGTGCTGAGACAAGAATTCAAGGCTTCATGAACCATTAACTTTGTCCAACTTTCAGTTTGACAGCCATGAAGGGTGTACTTATGTATGGTCTTCGTAGCTCATGGCAGCTGGTAATGTCAGATAAAGTAAAATAAATAGGAAACAAAGAGGACAATGGGCTGAGCATTGGGAACGACAATGCCACCGGCTGCGTGATATCTCGATGTCAGTGAGTACCTGAAACCACTGATAAGGTGGGCCTTTGATACTCCAACCGCGTAAACGATATGCGTCAGTGTAGACAAGATCCCTGGTCATCTTTTTCACGCTCCATCTCCAGATCATTACTATCTTATCTTATGGTACATCCCAGTCCTAACCCGCCACTGAAAACAGGGCCGCCAGTGCATTATTCAATCGAAATAGTTTTAAAAGTCCGGTGCTGTGCTGCTCAAAAGGTACCTGTTGTACGCAGCCGCATCAGGAGTGAAACAGTAACGCCTTACTTCCTGCACTTTCGGGATAGACCAGCCCCCTGGAGCTGAGCAAGTCAGACTTTTGAGTCATTAGCTCCCAGAAGAGTTCTCAGAGAAAATCCTATTGTCCGCTGTCTCGCGGGCGGTTGGTTAAGTCGGAGGCTAGTTGAAGGGTTCTAAAACAAGACCCTACTTCCTCTTACTACCTTGTGTGTTGGACTTCTGAATGGCTCAAGGTCCGCTGTCTCGCGGGTCAGCGGTTAAGTCGGAGGCTAGTTGAAGGGTTCTAAAACAAGACCCTACTTCCTCTTACTACCTTGTGTGTTGGACTTCTGAATCAAAGGCTCAAGGTCGGGTACTCCAACCAAACCCCCCTTCTCGGCTTAGGCAACCGGGATGTATCATTTACCCGCACAGTTCTTTGTCCCCCTATGTCCCTTCATAACCCCTTCTCACCACATAAACAAACGCGGCTGGGTCAATTGATTATCAGTTATCTGACAGATGTGCCTTAAGTACCCCGTCGCCTATCAACAATAAACATAATGAC